AGGTTTACTCTAATGGCTTACCAGTTATGAACCAAATTGGATTTGGTGTGTTTGTGCAAATGCTGAGGCAGAGTACAAAAAGATGTAATTAACAACTCAATAGACAGGAAATGATTGAAATAGACCAGTGTAGGAATAGTGCTCCATAAAAGAGCACAGAGCACATGTTGGCAGAGGGATGTGTGGGAATACTGTACTGGTGCTTTCAGAAAACTGAGTATTCACTAGAACTCTATGTTAAGTTTGATGATGCAAAATGACTCAAGAGGTAAATGATATTATGAATCATCAGTTTGATATGTGTATATGTTCACATTTTAAAGACTGTTTAAACTTCTGCCTCAAAAATTTAATCATACCATTGCATAAGTATCCTAAATATGATTAATATATAAATGAATTAGTGAATCTCTTTAACTTTGGAAAGAAGTAATATATGAGATATGGTTGGTGGTAGGAAAACCATTAACTGGAAAACCTAACATTTAGTTTCAAAGCATTATGAAAGAAGAAAAACATTGGATCACATCCCAAGGAATATTTTTGTCATGTTGGCCGTAGGCTGAAGTGATTAAGACTAGAAAAAGTACCCAGGTCTCATCCACTAACTCCTCCCTTTTACAGACTAGTAAAAGGGAACTTTTACCTGAAGTTCAGAGATACTGTGGAACTCAAGAGTTCCTGATGTCATAATCAGTGCTATATATATATTTTTAAAACATTTATTTCATTAGACTAGAAGGCTAATGAGAAATCAAAATGAGGGTTGGTAATTGTACAGCAGTATGACATATTTACAATTGAAATATATTTCTGGGAGCACAGGAGAAATGGTGCCTAGGGCTGCTGGTGGAAATTAAGGAAGAAAAGCTTCACGGAGGAGTGGCTGAGACTTCAGAGGAAAGTACTGCATAGGCCCATGTAGGAAGAGTGCTCCACAGAGAGCACAGCACTTGCTAGCACGGGGCTGCAAGGGAGGGAGAGCAATTTCAGGAAACCGGAAGCATCACCAATGCCTTGATGGTGCAACTAAGCAGAAATGAGATTATAGTGGGTTGTGAGTGCCATGCCAAGAATTAAATTTTAATCTTGTGGAGTTCCATTGTAAGATTTTCACCCTGCTAACATAACTGGATTTGTTTCCTTTCTCTTAGTAAGTGTGGAGGGTTGATTAGAGGGGAGTTGAGGCCAGAGTCATGAAGACCAGAAAGTGATCAGTACATTAAAATGGGGGTGAGACATGAGGGTCTAAATCAGGACAGCAGCTACAGAAATGGAGAGGTAGGCACAAATATAGGAGAAACGGAAAAGGTAAAGTCAACAGGACTTACTGAATAATTACATATGAAGCATGAATGGAGAACAGAATGTAAAGCAAATCCACTATTATTATATTTTCAGTTTTTCTACTTCTTCCTATGAATGGAAGGATCATGATATTTATGAGTTTTAAATGTATTTATAATAAATAATTAAAATAGTTTAAACTATCACAATCCTTCTGGAGATGAGGATACTACATAATATTAAGTGTATGATACTTAGTGATGTTAAGACTTGTATTTCAGGGGAAAAGGGTGAAGGGCTTGCAGGAACAAGTATAAAGGACACATTGGATAATAACGGGCGGGTGGAAATGGGAAGATGGTGGTGAGCTCTGGGGGCGGTGGGCTGGGGTGGGTGGGAAAGGCAGAAAACTGTACTTGAACAACAATTAAATAAAAAATAAAATAAAAAGACTTGTATTTTCTGCCTTTCCTTAAACTCAGTCACAAGCATAAGGAAATGGAGTGAGTGAAGCTCCACAGTGTGGAGTCTCATTACTGTTATTGGTACATTTTCTATGTGCATATGATTACTAGGTGAGGAAGAAAATGAGAAATGAAAAATAAGGACCTGAAAGTCTGTCTTATGCCAATTAAACTTCCTCTTTGATTTTATAAAATCACTAGATAAAGCAGTTCACCCTTCAGGGACAAAGTCACATATCACAGATACAAAACAGTTTGATGTAAATATAGTTAATACTTTTTTAGAATTCTGAGAAATGTTGGTCACATGTGCCATCAATGGGTTCGATGTTTTTAGTAAAATGCAGTCAGAGCTGTGAATGAGTATTAAGCAGTTAAGTCTCACATCCTTCCCACTCACTGACTAGCAATAGTATGTAGGGCTGCTACCTTTATAGAGTAATTTCTTCTGGCTTTCACCATCTTATAAGTAAACAAAAATAAATAGTAGGAAAATGAGGACTTCCAGACAAGATGGAGGCATAGGTAGACACACTGTGCCTCCTCGCACAACCAAAAGGACAACAATTTAAAAACAAACAACAACCAGAACTGACAGAAAATAGAACTGTATGGAAGTCTGACAACCAAGGAGTTAAAGAAGAAACATTCATCTAGCCCTGTAGGAGGGGCTGAGACGGGCAGCCGGGGTGGAGAGGACTGGAGGCAAGGTGGCAGCTGGTGGACCCAGCGAGACAGTGGATTGTGGATGGGGCATGGCACACCAGGAGGCTGGAGGACTGGGTGGTCCCACATTTGAGCACAGATAAACCAGGCGAAACTGGGGAGCAGGACAGACATGTAACCCAGGGTTCCAGCGTGGGGAAATAAAGCCTCAAACCTCTGATTGAAAACACCTGTGGGGGTTGAGGCGGCAGTGGGAGAAACTCCCAGCCTCACAGAAGAGTTTGTTGGAGACACCCACAGGGTCCTAGAATGTATACAAGCCCACCTACCCGGGAATCAGCACCAGAAAGGCCCAGTTTGCTTGTGGGAAGTGGAGGAAGTGACTGAAATCTGGCAGAGAGCGGAGCAAGTGCCTTTGTTCCCTCTTGGACCCCTGCCCCACCTACAGCGTCATAACCCAGTGACTGGGCTGTCCCAACCTGGTGAACACCTAAGGCTCCACCCCTTCCTACATAACAGGCATGTCAAGACAAAAAAAAAATGGCCCAAATGAAAGAACAGATCAAAGCTCCAGAAAAAATACAACTAAGAGACAAAGAGGTAGCCAACCTATCAGATGCCCAGTTCAAAACACTGGTAATCAGGATGCTCACAGAATTGGTTGAATTTGGTTGCAAATTAGATGAAAAAATGAAGACTATGATACGAGAAATGAAGGAAAATGCACAGGGACCCAATAGTGATGGGAAGAAAACTGGGGCTCAAATTGATGTTGTGGACCAGAATGAAGAAAGGAACAACCAATCAGAAAAGAATGAAGAAATAAGAATTCAAAAAAATGAGGAGAGGTTTAGGAACCTCCAGGACATTTTTAAACATTCTAACATTCGAATTATAGGGGTACCAGAAGGAGAAGAGGAGAGCAACAAGTGGAAAAGTTATTTGAACAAATAATGAAGGAGAGCTCCCCAATCTGGCAAAGAAAATAGACTTCCAGGAAGTCCAGGAAGCTCAGAGTCCCAAAGAAGTTGGACCCAAGAAGGAACACACCAAGGTACATCATAATTAGATTATACAAGATTAAAGATAAGGAGAGACTCTTAAAAGCAGCAAGAGAAAAGGAGACAATTACCTACAAAGGAGTTCCCATAAGACTGTCAGCTGATTTCTCAAGAGACCTTGCAGGCAAGAAGAGGCTGGAAAGAAGTATTATAAGTCAGGAAAGGCAGATAAAGTGCTTCTCAGATAAGGTCAAGTTAAAGGAGTTCATCATCAACAAGCTCTTATTATATGAAATGTTAAAGGAACTTCTCTAAGAAAAAGAAGATAAAAGCCATGTACAGTAAAATGACAGCAAACTCACAATTATTAGCAACCACACCTAAAACAAAAACAAAAACAAACTAAGCAAACAACTAGAACAGGAACAGAACCACAGAAATGGAGGGTTATGAAAAGGGAAGTGGAAGGGGGAGAGAGGGGGAAAAAGTACAGAGAATAAGTAGCATAGATGGTAGGTAGAAAATAGGCAGGGGGAGGGTAAGAATAGTATGGGAAATGCAGAAGCTGAAGAACTTACATGTATGATCCATGGACAAGAACTGAATGGGGGGAATGTGGGTGGGAGGGGTTGTGCAGGGTGGAGGGGAGTGAAGGGGGGAAAATGGGACAAATGTAATAGCATAATCAATAGAATATATTTAAAAAAATAAATATTAAAAAAATAAAAGGGAAAGATGTTTCACTCAATGGTTGGAAATGCTGTTTTAAACACAGTTAACACAGTTCATTTACAGTAAGATTTCATAGTCTTTACTATGCTAATAAGAGTAGTGAATTGCCAAGAGGAAGACTCCAAGCATTGTACTTTCAGAGGTGCTCACTGAAGCTGTTATCTAGTAGGCTTTACAAGGCTGGGACAAAACTGTGAGAAGGTAAGTCAATAACACAGGATATGGATGTGTACATTTTTCATGTGGATGGGCACAGGTAGGTAGGGCTGCCAGGTGGAAAAGTACCCACCAGAAAAGTACTACTTAGAAGTGTCTGAGGACAGTGTGGCCCTGGGCCCCAGTGTGTCAGGCAAGTTGAAAGGCAGAGATAAGAACCAGCTCTGGATAGAAATCTACAATGGAAACTGAGGATTCACACCTTGAAATGTCTTACATAAAATATATTCATCCATATGCCAAATCAATTTAGGCTCACCCCATTTAGGATTTGCCATTGAAAATGAATCATGAGTGGAAAGTTACAGAGTTTTTCTTTCCCCAGTTTTATACTGCCATGCAATCTATCATTAAGCATTTCATAAATCACAGAACTTTCAAGTCATTTGCAATTTAATTGACCAGAAATCAGTATCCAGATCAGTAAGAAAAAGAAAAGTACTGCTCAAAGCACTGGAGACAGGAGGCAGGGAAGCCTCAATGGAAATCTTCCCTTTTCTATCTGCCTTTTAAACGGACCTCAGTCTTTGCATAATGAACATTCATGGTAACACAACACGATTGCTTTTCATTTTCCGGGCATTTAAGAGACAAATCTTGTGCGCGCACACACACACTCAGTTTCTCCCCAAAATAGCCACATTCTTTTATTTGGTGATTTAATACATTTTTTAATTCAAATAGCCACCACATAACCTAGGCACAATATTAAGCATTTTACAAGCAAAGAATTTTACTGATTTTCTTTTCAATTGCCAAAGAGTACAATAAGTGAATTGGTTAAAGGATATACTTCTGTACATTAAAATATCCATGTATTTATACAAGTGTGTGGAACGGAATTTGAAGAGAATAAAACCAGAACATCACAATAAATAGGATGTGTTCCTCCAGGACAGCAGAGCACACGCTGTCAAGTCTCTGTTTCCAAGGTGCTTCCTGTTCCTCTGAGCTAGGCTCACGTTTCGCACGGTAAGGGCTGGGGGTTAGTAATGACTGGGTCTGAACGCCTGTTCTCTCGAACGTCACCTTTTCTTTGCATCTTCAATAACAGGAGTGGACACGGATATGATAACTTATTTATTTTGAAAAGCCTTTGCCACTTACCAAATTCTATTTATTTCCCATGTCAGTATTTAAAAATGCAGATTCATCTAAGCTCTAGCACCATACAAGAATGAAATGTGTGTGTTTTTGTCAGAACAACAATATTTTATATCATCTGTGTTCCTCTGCTTATACCAATTCTGTTTAGAAAAATTTGCCAAGCTAAAAATAGTTGATCTAGGTTGTCATAAAAAAGAATATTAAATACCTTTGGTAAAAATAGATATATTTAACAAGATTAGAAAAGCAAACAGTTATAATGTCAAAAGAAGAATATAAAAATGTACACAATAAAACACATAAACCAACTTATAAAGTGAAGATAAGGCCACTCTTCTTTTCAGGTTTGTCTCTTCCAAACTCTGAATGTAGTTCTTGTCTTCTAAATGGTAGAAATTTTTATAAGAAATATGGAAAATCCAGTCTTTTTTATCAGCATGACCCAAGTTTGATTTATAGCAACACAGTTTCTTTTTTTAAAACCAAGTTTGTAGACCATAGAACACTATTGTTTATAGATGTGAATATAAGGAAAAAAATTCCAGATTTCTGTGATTTTAGGCCCAGAACATGGAGCTGAAGAGTTAATAAGCAAGGCAATAGAATCACGTGCTCACTTGCACACATTTTGTTTTCCTGTACTGACATTAACCTAAGTCATATCAAGACAACTGAAACATAGAACACAGCTAGCTGAGTAAGTGCACGGTAACTCTGTAACTAGCTAGTGATCTACAACATTTAATATTTTTTCCACGCCCAGAGACCTTTTCTCCTGTCATCTGGGCGTCCCCTCAAGAGAGCTGTTGCACAACTCCTAAATCCGGTTGGTGTCTCCTCTTTAAGAACACACTGTAAATCCTGAAGGATGAAAGGTCCCTGAAGCAAACAACTGAGATTACGGATGGCGATAACGCATCAGTTCTCTAACAGAAGCAGCCGCTGAGCTGGACTGTTCTGGGAGAAGGCTGCGTGGGGAGATGCGTTATCCTCCTGTGTTCCCTCTGCACACACAGTCACACTCCTCATGGTGCTCCAGGGCCACGTCGGTAAGAGATTTATGCAATCCTCTGACACCGATCTTTGGTCTCAGCTGAAGGACCTGGAGGAAGGAACAGTGTAAACCACCATTAAAATCAACCAGGGTCTTTCATTAATGATCTCGCAGACAAGTATAATTTCAGGAAACGAATGTGGGGTCCATCAAAGACCTACACATTTTATTATTTTTTTCTAGTGAAGGCATTATGAATACATTCCCCTGCCTCTCAAACAAAATCATAAATGATCAATTTTTCATGAAAGAAAGACTGTTCTAGTACCAAAAATTTGGGAGGATGATGCCTCAGAATAAAGGACAGTGTTTAAATTGAAAAACTCACTAAGCAATCTCTATGTTACTCATTGAACAACATGAGAGAGGATTTCACCTTAAGTATTTTGGAACCACTACTGCACTGTTAATTTTTCTGTTTGGTAGTTTCTCACACTCATTCATTTATTCACACATTTAACAAATATTTATACTTGAAGCAATGCACGCAAGTACTGCTGTACTGTGAAGAGAAACATGATCACTCTGCAGCTGAGTTAGCTCAATTACGCCACTCATTAATTTTCTTGGCTACACTTCAAGTCCTCTATAAACTTGATGAGATGGATTAGATGTACTTCATAGACATCAGCCTCCGTCACAGCTAACTTTCTGCAGCTGGATCCTACTGTGCAGTCTATGGAGATTTGGCAATAACAATAATGGCTCTATTTTATGAAGTTACTTGCAGCTTGGATTGCTGGGATTTTTAATAAGATATACAGCAAAATAGACACTGATGCTAAACATATTTCCTTTCAACACTGTGACAAAAGGACATAGCTATGTATTCTATAAAAGATAATCTGAGGTCCTGGAAAACAACTACCTATTCAATGTGTACCCCATTTCATTTCACATAATAGAAATAATAAATTTTTAAAATGATGTTTTGATTCTAAACAGACACTAGAGCACACGATAACATGAAGTTGTCTTGCTTGTTGGCTCTCTGGGTACGACACAGACAACTTCACAGAGCAACTTTTAAAAGTTCCTGGAAATTTTCATTAATCCAAAAAGGCACAAGTCAAGTCTTATGACTGTTCTCCTTGAAGATTTTTAAAAATAGAGAATGTATACCACATTTAGAGACTGTGAGCATACCAAAGGTTAATTAGCTAACATTTTTTGAATGCTTATGAGTGCTAGCCACTATAATAAGGTTTTTACATACTTTAACTCACAAGAATTCTGTGAAGTAATTTACAACTACTCCCCCTATTTTATACATGAGTAAACAGAAGCTTAGAGAGAAGTGACATTGTCAGTATTTGTATTTCAACTACACATGAATTATCAGAGTAATAGATAATAATTATATAAAGACTCAAAATATGCATGTTACCAGTCATACATTCTATTCTTTTAGTAACTTTCTTTGTAAAAAGATAAACTGTAAAGTCTTGCAATAACTATAACAGTCAGCTTTTAAATTAGATTTTCTATTACATTTCATAATTCTAGAATAAAAATTACTTAAAATGTATTATTTTAATGTGAAACTCAGCTCAATGACTATTGATTTTATCTTTTCATGTGTCAAGCACATATTTACTCTTTTGGCACAACTTAAGATGGCGTCAAAGTTAACTGCTCCTAAGGTATTTGTTCTGTATCTTATTATCACACCCTTGTTACAAATTGTTTCTGACCAAGGCTAGGTAGACAGATAAGCTGCAATATTGGCATAGCAAAAAATTTTCATTCTTAGCTCCACTTGTATATGCTTTTCCAGTTAGCAGGGAAAAAGAAACCACTAAGAAATGTGAAAGTTAGGCTGCCATATGCAGTCCTGCCCATGATGCAAGGCTATGGTCCTGCAGTCCTCCCTTCTCTAGCACTGCTTGGGTCAAGTGTATTCACCAAATACAATCCCCTGCTCACCCCCCACACATGTCTGTGGAGATTTACAAAGAGCAGAAGAATCTCTTAGTGTTCTACTAGTGATGTTAAAGTCTTGGATAAGAAATTCTAAGACATGGTGGTGGGACCATAATTATTGTTTTCCTTCTTAAGTCTATCTGAAAGTTCTAACCAGAGAGGAGAAAGGCAGACTTGGAAGATGACCAGCAGGTCCTGGATAATATTAAAGATGATAATTTGGTCTTCAGGATGTAGTTTATGACACAAGAAATCAGGTAGAAACATGTCTCACAAAATTTTGAGGGAAAGGTTCAAACTAAAATTACAAGTTCATGAAAAAGTAATCCAGGGAAAAGCTAAACCCAGAAACTATTGGAAAGAATAGATTAGGTACAGAAAGAGGCATCCAGGAACAGATGCACATGTACCCTTGCCCAAAGGGTGCGAAGTGCCCTTACATTTTTGGGTGCCACAGAACCTTGCAGTTGGGACTCATTACTACAGTAAGTCAATGAAATGGAATACTTTCCTCCAAGAACAAGATCTATGCAAAAAAAAAAAGGAAGAATGTGCTTGATGTTATGAAAAAATAAAATTAAATACATGAAAATAAAAAAAGGTAAAAATCATTAGGCTGCTTAAGAATGGAAAAAGGAAACAAAAAGAGTTTATTGTCAGAGTATCCTACAGATCTTTTTGCCAGAAAGAGAATACCCTTCCGACCTCTGGGCAAATTCATTAAATCTTTGTCGATCATTTGCCATAACTGAAGAATAAGACTAGGCACAGAGGGAAAAATAAAGATGAGGGAGAGAGAAGCTAGTTTGTATCAAGGGCTTGCGATGTGCTGGACCTTGTTCTAAGTGTTTTATAGAGATCACTCCTTGAATCCTCACGATAAAGGACGAGGGTTGGAAGCTCACTTCACAGGTGAGGAAATGGAGGCACAAGGGGATTCAGTAATTTGCTCAAAGTCACGTTGCTAACAAATGTCATGTTCAAAACTCTGGATGTCTGGTTTGGTACCTGCGCTCTTAGGCACGACACTTTCTTGTTCCCTAGTCCTCAATTTGGTAGTAACAAAGAAAAATAAGCAATAATTATGAAACAGTGAAAGTTCTCTAACAGAGAGATCTTTCAGATCCAACACATGCAGAAAGAAGGATGAACTAATTATACTGGGATTGGCAGGAAACTAAAAAATGTTTTAGGAAGAGGAAGTATCTAGGTTTATACATATGTAAAGTTCTTGTTTCACTTTTCTGAAAAATCCTGTTTGGGAGATAGCAATACCATTAAGGGAATTTTATTGATAGATAAATAGATAGAGATATGGGCTAAAATGCCTTCTAATAAAAAGTATCTGGTGATAAACACAAAAGCAATAAGAAACTTATTAATAATATTATGCTGTAATATTACATTAAAACATTATAACAATAATATTCTTATATTTTATGAGCCTTTTAATTTTCTAAACTCATTTTTGACACAGGGTTGAACAAAACCCAATGACAGTGCTAGAGGAAACCAAAAGAGAATATTAATTTATTTATATTTGTAGGAACACAACAAATATTTTCACCTTACTACTTAGGGAGGCGGGTACAGCAGAGATAGGTGAAGGAGAGAAAACAGAACTTTTAGGCTCTGCCTGTGCTTCTGCCTTCTCTTTGAGGTGGGATGGTCTTCGAAGTGAAAATGGAAACAATGCTCATTGAAAAGAATTAAAGCCCAAGAAGAGCATCTTTTCAAATAAGTTAAATCTTTAGATTCAAATGAAAGGTATTCAGTGACCTATCACTTCTGATAATATTTTAAGTTTAAGAAATAATTTCATTTCCTGGGTGGCATAGCTCAGTGGATTGACCTCGGGCTGCGAACCAAGGCATCGCAGGTTCGATTCCCAGTCAGGGCACATGCCTGGGTTGCAGGCCACGGCCCCCAGCAATTGCACATTGATGTTTCTCTCTCTCTCTCTCTCTTTCTCCCTCCCTTCCCTCTCTAAAAAAATTAAATTAAAAAAAGAAATAATTTCATTTATTCAGAAGTAATATTAGATGAAGAACTTATTTGCAAAATATAAGACTGAGAAAAAGTCAGGCCTCAGAAATTATGAATTATACCAAATAAAAAACCTTTCCCCCACCCACAGGGTAATTTGATCATTATTAAGACTTGGTTATTGTTGGAGATATGTGTAAGAAGGGTGAAGGAGGTACTGTATAATGTTTCTGCACATCCACATTAGAGATGTGGGAACCTGCACCAGGTGGTCATATAACTAACTGCACACCTAAAGGTAGATATGTGCATATATACAATGCATACGTGATCAACCTCAACCCCACCCAAAGACCAGAGAGTAATGGATTAATTCATTCTGGAAGAAGGCCACCGTGGCTGTAAGCAGTACCCACAGCCTCTCCCCACACAAGAGTCTCACCTGAGACTTTAAAACAGATGTTACAAATTCTGTGGCAACTTCCTGCATCACCCTAAAACTAATGTTATTTGGGGAAAAATTTTACAAGGATAGGATGGAGGAGGATTGGCTTCACCTGTGGACCAATTTATCAGATCAAAAGTAATATACAGAACCAGCATGTAATAAGCTGCTTTAAGAAAGCTGATACAACTGGTCTGGATTTTATAGATCTCAGAATGGTGGTGATAGACCCAAGACTTGTTGCCTAAATAGGGTCCCCAAATATACTCTGTTTGTAAGCGCCTGCTTTAGAAAGTTCAGAATGGAATGATTTCAGGTGGGAAAGGATCACTCAAGTTTAATTCCTATTCTCATTATATCCTTTTATGGTAGGCCATTCAACTCTAATATTAGCCTAGCTTTTAAGGTATTTTAAGTTTAATCTGTTTGAGAACTACTGTATTAAGGTTTTCTTCTGGACTAGCCATCCCAGTTCCTGGAGCAGCAACAAGGCTGGTCTGTGGGCATGGCCTGAGGGGAGTTCCCTGAGCCCCCAAGTTCATGACTATCTACTTCCTGAAACTGGAGTGCAGGCTGTTCCCAGCATAAGGCTCTTTAGAAGAATGCAGTTAGACATGAAAGTAAAACATGAGTAATGGCAGTAAATAGTGCTATTTCTAATCACAGGCTTCCGGTGTGGGATGTTAGCTACTAAAAAATGCTATCCAGCCCTGGCTGGCATAGCTCAGCGGACTGAGCACAGGCTGTGAATCAAAGTGTCGCAGGTTAGATTCCCAGTCAGGGTAAATGCCTGGGTTGCAGGCCATGACCCCCAGCAACCGCACATTGATGTTTTTCTCTCTCTCTCTCTCTCTCTTTCTCCCTCCCTTCCCTCTCTAAAAATAAATAAATAAAATATTTAAAAAATGCTACCCAGTAATTGTGAAGAAAAAAAAACCAGCTAGGAAAAGCCACAGAGAATTGTCATATTTTATACTATTTTATTGAGGTTAAGTATCCTAGTGATGACTACAAGTTAATGGTAGAACTAGGATGGAAACAGGGTCCATTGTCTTCTGGAATGCAGTGCTTCATTTTCTAGTGTAGCAACTGTGACACAATGTTGCTAAAGGGCAGGGCAACCAGGTCACGGGCAGTGTGTGCTACTCTCCCTATTTACACCACCTAACAGATAAGAGTTTCATTGATGTCTTTATGCAATGACAAAAAATAATCATTTGATTTATTAAGCAGATATTTTTATTATATTAGTGGAAAAAATAGAAGCTAATGAAATGAAGCTATACTGAAATGAAGTCAGGAAAGCAGATTTTGGCTTGGTATAATGTAAATGTTTTGTAAAAATCCAAGTGGACTCATCAGGAATTGAATGCTTCTTGATGTAGGGATGCTACACGATCCTCTTGGAGAGATGGTGGCATAGAATTCGGGATATTGTAGCACTAATGAAAACTGGACCCTGGCTGGTGTGGCCCAGTGGATTGAGCATCGGTCTGTGAACCAAAGGGTTGCTGGTTTGATTCCCAGTCAGAGCACATGCCTGGGTTGTGGGCCGGGTCCCCAGTTGGGGGTACATGAGAGGCTGCCAATCCATGTTTGTTTCCCTCCCTTTCTCATCTCTCTAAAAGTACATAAATAAAACATTTAAAAAAGGAAAGAAAAAGAAAATTTAGAGTATGTAAATTCTAATGTTCCCAAGTCTGAAAAACAACTGAGATTAAATATTTTATTTTTCTTGATTCCATAAAGAGATAAAGAGGTAAAGAATCCATGAAAGGTTTAACATGCTATTTGGGAAAATATGAATAATAGGAAGATTGGTATAATTATGAGCATGTCTTCTTGGGATTTATGTGCCCACATTGCCCCAAATGGAAAAATAAATACCAAAGATCTTCTTCCTCCAAAATAGACAATAATTTATCTTCAAGTTTCTCTTTAAAACATTTCCCTTCATATTTTTAACAGTTGAGAAGTTTTACCCATGTTTTATGCTATTAAAGAACATTTTGGTTTTTGTATGAGAGAAAATTTCACCGACTGCCCGTGGTGTACTATCAGAGGATAAGCTTCCAACATCCTTATGTCTGGGTTTTTGAGGTAAACGTCCAATTTTAGAACATAAGAACATAAAGTATTTTGTAAAACTGTGTTTTTTTTTAATGCCACATCATCTCAAACCAAAAAATCATTTCAGATACACTGTTTTGTTATCTTTAAAGTAACAAAACACTCCAAGGAACCCAGAAAGAAAATGATATACCTACCTCATGATATTTTTTAGTAACTTTGCTTGGGACACATTGACACTCATTGCAATTGTGGAGACAACAGGCACAGTTTCCACCACAGCGTTTCACCAGGAGACAACCTGGCCAGAAAATAGTATCGGTTCTCTTTAGTTCTTCCCTTATGGACACCGAGAAGTTACGAGGTGTGCAGCTGTACAATCTTACCTCCTCTTTTAGAAGGTTCAGATCCACCACTGCATGGCATAAAAGAAAGAAAAAAATAGATATTTATGTTTGGAGCCTGAATGTATTTTATTAAACTCTTTTCATAAAGAAATCTAACTATTTCATGAAAAATAATCCTGACAACAACCCTTCTTATTTTAACTAAGTTTTGAAGCTATGCAGCTTGCAAGTTGGACCTTCTATTTTATAGTAAACAAAGCTTCATTATGACTTAGTGACCAATAAAGAGATGTCATTGTGCAATATTAACAACAGAGCCAACAGAACAGTTGAGGGCTATAAATAGGAAACTACAGAGGAAAAAGAGGGCTACACCTTTTAACCTTAGTAAAAAAAAGTAAACAAGGAGGCTATTGGAGGGAAGAATAGAATGCAAGCTGATGAGTACTCTGATTAACAAATAAATGCAATTTTTACAGGCATCAGAAGCTCACGCAATTCACGAAGAACAATGTACAGAAGCTTGTCAACAGAACTTTCTATACTCTTTCTGACAATAAGAATCATAAAATGTCAAAAGGAAATGAATAAAATGAAAGTTTGAAGACAGCTGAGTGGACCATGAAATGAAAAAAAGTGATACATTTAAAAGAAAATAGGTTGTGAGAAAGTGCTGCTTCTGGTGCACTGAGAAGTTCTGGTCTTTAAAATTTAATTTAACTCCGATTCTATTCTTCTTCTATGGACAGAAGAAATGTCTAATGTATAACCATTGTCTCTATTCTTTTAACAAGTTGGTTAACTATGTTGTGCTTTATTCTTTAAAAGAATACCTATTTGTCAAGACGAAACAAAATATCCTTTCATCAGATTATGGCAGTAAATTCTCAAAGAACCATTGTTTTTAACTACAAAATGATACTGCTCTAGTAAAGTTATACAAAAACATCATGTAATGTTTGATATGAATTAATCTATAATATATAAATAGTAGTTTATTATTAGGATAAGCATCTCTAGTATAATTTTAATTGCTGCTTTATAGCTTTGCCTTTTTCCTCCTAAAAATATCCAAATAAAAACAATTCCAACAAATTGAAGAGATTTGGGTAATAATAATAATTCATTGGAGCTTTAGTCCCATCAGAAAATTTAGGTTTTATTAAAATTTAGGAAAATTGTTTATAATATAATAAATATATTTACCTTTTGCTAGTATTGGAAATATTATAACAAAAATTGAAAGAAAATAAGTTATTTTCTGTTTACAGACTGCCTCAAATAATAATCATCACTATGTAATTCAGTTTTAAAAATTAAGTACCACTTTTTCAAAACAATTTTAAAATGACAAAGTAATTACAAATCAAATGCTGATTTTCTTAGTTATGTTATATTGTATATATGATCAAATTTTTCTAAAATGCCAAAGGGAGCCAATGTATTTTTTAAAAATGTATCATAAGTTATGCATATGCAATCATAAATTACAGGACATATAAACTATATGACTGACTAAAACCTTGGTCAAGTTTAGGAAAACACCAAGAAACACTAACTCAATAGGTTCATTTCAACATCTTATTCAGTTAAAAATTATTTTTTCTAACTCAGTAGAAAAATCACTGTTTTATTTAAGTATCTAAAGATTTCCTTTTAATATGAAAAATGATCCTGTAAAAGCTTTTGCATATTTAAGGGAAAATGAGTTCATTCTTTTGAGTGCTATAAAAGGCCAACTTATCTCTAATAAAATTAATGAGATAACTAGGTTAAATGTCACATATTTTACCTGGCTCATTTTGCTGAACTAATAGTATATGTACATATCGCTCTTTTATTGTTTAAGCTATATATGAGCTTATTTGAATCTTCTCTATAGAAGTTCCTATCTGGGTAAGAAGGAAGAAAACCTAAAACATGCTCACACATACAAAAGTCGGTTGCCAAAATTTGCAATGCTCATTTAAGATTTATACTTCTTTAGAATGTGAATGAAGCTCTTAGCTTTGAAAGGATATTCATCTACCTCAAATAGCTTTAAACACACTATTTCATGCAACTAGAAAATGAGACTGTGTATGTTCACTTTAAAATGTTTACTTAACCACAATAAAAGGTTAGATAGATTTCCCAAGTGAACTAAGTTATGATACCTGCTACAATGTGAAAATTTAAACACACTTTCAACTTGGCTTCCACTCATTTATCATGTTTGACACAAAAGTCAAAAGCTCTTTTCAAGTACTAGTTAAGCCTGACTTAGAAAATATGGTACTTTTTTTTCTGTAGTAGCATGGTATGAATGAAAAACCTGAATCAGAAGAAGAAAGGGAAAATAATCAAACAGAAAAACATTAATGCTGTCCACTCTGGGCTGAAAATACATTAAGGATTTTAAATTTGGTAATTTTAAGTGAAAGTTATGCTTCCTGCTTCTAAGGCTTCAACCCATCTAAGTTTCATTAAAATAAGTCCTGTGATTATAAATTGGGGTCATAAATTCTCTAAACACTGTGCAGAATTTCTAGGCAAAAAGAAAAAAAAAGGAAAAAAAAAAGAAACAGGGAAAGAAAGATCATGCCCCAATGCATACATTTTTTAAACAGTTTAACTATAATATTATGGATGTTTTCCTCTGAAAAATATTGGTAAAGTAAAACTCAGCAAATTCCTATTTTCTTTTCAAAATTACCTCCTAACTTGTATTGCAGAAGGATGGTTTTGAGCAAGATGCCTATGAAAGTTTTTCTAATGCAAATTTTCTTGTTTAGATTCATCAATATTGTAAGCTTTACTTAAAAAAGTACTGACTGAAGAAAATATGCTCACATTCAACTGTTAGTTGTTCATGCTTTTGAGATATTCAGCCCAAGAATATTCTATTACTGTAATGCAACCTGAGGGTGGTCTTTCTAAGATGAATGTGGTAACACTGTGATATGTTTATTCTGTGGAAAATCTATTTCGATGTCTAATTAGAAGCTTTTAAACGTTTTACTCCTCATTCCTTTGTAGAAAGACTCTTGGGAGGGAAGTTGGTTTTGTCTATATAGATGTTATCCCACACCTGCGTTTTAGTTTATGTAAAGTTCCAAAAATATACACTGCTTTTCTCACACTTACTGTATGCTTAAAAAGTTAATAGTCTTGGCAAACTGCAAAGAGCTTCAATTTGGAAAGTGCTAAATGAATATTTGAAAGATCTGTTTCAGTGCTGCATGTTTTTAAATATATGCTAGCCGCTGGCTAGATCTTCACTGATCACCACATGAAGAGGTACAGGGCATAAAGGCATATGGCTAGACGGGAGATTTTTAGGCTTGAATCCTGAGATCAGCTGTCAAAAAACTAGACCTGAGCTTAGAACCTGACTTACTCCCTCTACTTTTTACTGATCAACACGATAACCTCCTTCAAATTTGCTAACAAAGGCTCTATTCATGAGTGCTTCAGCCAGACTTGTAGATCTTCATTTTCCTGTTCCGAAGTGGGAGGGAAGGGAAGTATTGTTCGTAAGTTATTCATCAAGTTATTCATCAAGATCAAATCTTATAAATATGTAACAGCTTTCAGCATCTGGACAAGATTCGGCTGCCCATGGACTTGAACACCGCTTTCAAATATCGCTGAAAGGAAACCTCGTCTGTTGGCATAGCAAAATACCATGGTTGGGCAAGTCTGCACATGACCTGCTGAGATTAAAGCTCCTCGTCCTGAAGGGCTGCAACTCTCAGCAGGAAAGGGCAGGAATCAGGTTTCTTCCTGACAAGACTTAGAAGAACAAGTCTGGTGCAATCTGCCCCTGTGAATTGCTCAAATTAACTAAATATTGTTCCTCCTCTGTCATTCCATTCTCTAAAGTGATGCCCGGTAGATTTCAATGTTTCTGACAGACTGCAACAGATTTTTTGATTGCATTATAAATATTCAGTTATTTCTACTTTATTTTCATTTGTGTCTGATATGGATGCTTTCCAATTCTAGCGTTATTAGGAAGTTAGCTAACTTTAGAGCAAACCCAGTTAACAATATTTTCTATTTCTTCACCATGTGGGATTACATTTAATGACCAACTCTTACACTCTTGAAGGAAGATACATGCTCTTATGGTCAAAAGGGATGATTTCAGAAGGAAGCTTGTACAGAGGGAAACTGTCGTGGTGGGGGTTCCTCCTTCTACGCATTCTATCTGGGAAACTACTAGTTTTATTTTATGGTGAGTCACTGCTATTTTTCATGTTATTTAGAAAAGTTTCTAGGCTTTGGAAATAAAAGTTAAGATAATCCTGACCCTAGGAGACATGGTAAATAGTGAACTTAATAGAGCTTCCCTTTTTCTAGCCCCAAACGCAATTTCTTAGCAGCTATGGTGATCTCTCTTGAGTCTCTACATCAATATACCCCAGATATTAGGTTTGAATAAGCGATGATTCTTACAAAATATAACAGAGAGCTTCATCAAAATACTATTTTTAAATTTAAAAAATGGCAAGAACGGTCATCAAAAGTATCCCTTTTAATCTTCCACACCCACTGAGTTATAATTGAGTTCTTTTGTATGTATTCTTACTTAATACGTAAATATGCTCAAATGTTATTGAAGTGGATTATTTCAATTTATTACTGGAGAATTTTAAACTCTACTCATTAGAAGCTATGACAGAAGAATCTGAAACATTACCTGCTAAGAAAACTAAATGAAATTCTAATCTGAAGAGAGAGCTTACCTCTGGATTTTCTTCCAAAAACAAAAGCCTTGCCAAGAAGTTGCCAACCTGGCCTATATAGATCTTCTAAGTCCAACTGCCATCTATCTGGTTCAAGATACCGAATAAGATCTTCCAAGGTACTAAAGGCAGTGACAGCGTTATTAAGCTGGTCCAGTGGCAAAGCGGAAGGGGGTAACACTGAAGGACTCACAGCTTCTGTGAATTGCTGAAAGTAAAAGGAATCTTATGTTAACTGTTTTAAAATGACAATGTATTCCTTCTGGACTTAAGAAGTTAGGTAGACTAAGACTGTAAATACACAGGATGTCAAACTGTGTTCAACTCGAGTTAGAAGTAATTATTTTGCAAAGCTTCATGTAGATGAACTCTTAATAGGTTTTCTGTGCAGTCAATGAGACAGACATTAACATCATTACCACACACTAAGGTGGATGTGTTGCTTAAATAAAAACAAAATAAAAACAAAATGTGTTGCTTAAATAAAACAAAAACATCTCCAGGGTCCAATTATAGACTTACAATGGAAACTATAACACAGTTTATCAAAGTTTTGCTTGTTTTTCACTTTTCATTTTTCTTAATCTGGAAAATCACTCTGTAGTTATGTGAATGAGCATCAAATAAATTAAAAATTGAATATAAAATAATTAACTCATAAAGCATTGTCACAAATTTAGGTGAAATACCTTTGACAATGGAGTTGTTAATCAAGATAGAAAACATCCAAACTGTAAAAGATAACTTTGATAAATTTGCCTAAATTTTTTTTAATAAACAGGTTTAAAAGACAGACACTGGAAGAACACTCTGGGCAACTATATAACTCTCACAGGGCTGGTGTCCAGAGTCTACAAAAAAAGAGACAGATGACTTAATAGAAAATGGGCTAATTCCAGACAAAAAGCCTGAATGGTCAACAGATATAAAAACATGCTAAAATCCGTTAGTTGTCAGAGAAAAGAAAAACAAAATGAGATATTATTTCATGTACATAAGATTTGCAAGCATTTAAAAGAAAGGACTGCCTAGGATTTGGGTAAATTGAAATTTCTCTGCTCTGCATGCAGAAGTGAATATAAATTGCTTTAGTTTACATAAGATCCTGGAGTTGAAGATTTACATGTTCCAAATCCCTGTAATTCACTTTTAAGGTTTACATTTTTTTTTATTTATTGTACATGAAAACATGTGCAATGAGATTCACCACAGTATTGCTTGAAATAAAAAACCTAAATGCCCATATATAGAACAGTGCATCAAAACATATCATTTTAAATGGCAAGCAACAAAGTGAGGCAATAATTTCTATAAATCTTCAATAAGAACCCTTCCCAATTTTTAACATGAACTAAGTGGTAAATCAGAACTGAAATCAAAATAGGCAAAATAAATAAATGAACAAATGCTCAACTTGGTTTCTTTATTATTTTTTAATTTAATTTTTTGTGGAGGAGAACAAGAGCATGAAATAACACAGTTATGTTGATTGATGTTCACTGTAGTATTATTTATAATAACAAGAAGTTGGAAAAATCTAAATTAACAACAGTTGCAATAGTTAATTACACTTCTCATGAATTGAAATAATGTACAAACATAAAAAATGAGGTCCTCTGGAAATTTTATTAACAAAAGAAATAAATGTTTACTATGTAGTAAATGACAAAAATAAAAAGCTATATAAAAATAGTGTTAATATACCAAAGTTTCAACATACATAAATTGAAACAAAGCAAAAAATCAACAGTGCCTAAAATGTTGAGTGTTTATCTATCATTTCAATGAGCATGGGTAGGTTTTAATTTTCTTTCATATACATACCTACACTTTCAACATTTTTATAATAAATATGGATTGCTTTTAGAGCTCAGGTAAAAATAATAACATTTGTTATAATTTAAAAAACTATCAAATCAACTTTTTCTTTTCATTCTCATTAGATCCTGAGCTAAATATGAAAACCATGTACTGTATAAGGCATCCTCTAACTTTGTCTCCTTGCCTTTAATCTTTCCTTATTTCTTTTGTTCTATGCTGCATAACCCTGGGTTAATTTACCTAAAATAAGTTATTACTGACCGTGTGATGAATCTGGATAAATGCCTACAGTGATTTCTCATCTGGAGGATGAAATCCAAATTCCTTCCGCTGTACCCAGGATCCTTACAAAATGACCTTTGTGGACCTTTCTCATCTAATCCTCTACTCATCAAAGACAGGCACATTTTGTTCCAATCAATCTAGCCTCTTCACTAACTACTGCACATCTCAGACCTTGTACTTCCACCCATGCTAATCGCTGTTCCCCTGCTCCCATATGCAAAACTCTCCCTCCTGTGATCCACATAATAAATCTTTACCATTTTTAATGGCCTTTCTTGAAACCCAATTCATGCATGAAAACTTCCTCAATAACAGGGCCGTCATTGTCCCACATATCTCAATTGTGTCCACTGGAAAAACATCCCTTCTTTGGGCTATCCCATGGGCACGCGGCTCGAAAAGCAGAAGCTGCTCTTTAAATTAGGAGGGCTGTGCTCTGGGGCAGGCCCAACGCCTGCTGAAGCTTCAAGGCTCTGTGGGTATGGAGTCCCAGCTGTACACAGAGGGTGGAAAGGTGCACTTTTGTACAGAATGGTTGGCAAAAATGAATGTGGAAGCCTTGGGTTAACAATGATTTTATTCTTATTTTAGACATCTAATTTCCATAATGTTGACATTGTGGTTAAAACATTAGTACTAAGATGTTTCCAATTATTATATCTAAATTTTGAGAGCAAAAACCAAATTAAATACATTCCTATTTATTACCATGATTTTTAAAAAATTGTCCAAGAAATGCAAAATGGCTTTGACATTGATGACAGCTGTGAATGGCAGCTATGTTAGAGGCATAAATGAACAATTATCTAATAAAAATTCCCATTGCTAAATCAACCAATTTAGTTAATATTGGTTAAATTTATAACATGAAAAGGTTAATGCAAAATATCTGCACATTACAAATAATAAGCCAAAATGTATATGTTTATGTAAAGTATAAATGAAGGGTCAGTAATACTGAAAGAATAACTGAGTTTCACTCCTGGCTATGATGATGTAAAACAAATTGAATGTATCATAATCTAAAATATAGAGAAAGCTAATACAGAAAGTACATATTATTCATTAAAGTGTCACAGTGCCCAGTTAGACGTACTATAAAATTGTTACCTAAGCTATTTTCAAGCTTATTTTGCTTTTCACATGTGTTGGAGACTCTGCGTACAGCATTCCTTTTGAAGCAATAAACAGGTCCCACTGAAATCAACACTGCTGAAATAAAGGTGAGAGTATTCATGCAAAAGAAACTAAAACAATATAAGCCTGCAACACTGGATGGACCCAGCATGCACACTTTAGGTTCAATGAAGTATCAGAACCGCAATCTCCTCACATGACAAACTTGGGAGAAAACTACTCAGCATATGTTACTGCAAGCACGTATTAGTTGATGTTATAAACCTGCAAGCTTTTACATATTTAAATTAAAATAAGATAAACTGACAATTAAACACACACACAGAAGTTTGCATCCACCCAGAAAAAACAGGAAAGGAAATCAACTCACTTCCCCTAGATTCAAAGAATCAACTCCTGGACAGAACAGGGGAAGCGGTGCTTTTCCTTAAGGGCTTTCTCATGACCGCCACTCCACCCATCATTTCTAGGAACAACCAAGTCCTTCACTTTCAAAGTTCTGCTTTTCTAGGTTGTCTAAAGGGGTTTTCAGAGAAAAGGGAGAGCAATGGAAAAAAAAAAGGTCAGAGGACAAAAAGTTCTCCTTTTGTTAAGCTTTCATTTTTCCTCTATGCAAAATTCCTCTTTTAGTACAGGCTCAAAGCCTTTTACCCTTTATTTAAGTGTCTAGAAAATTCTAACAATACTTATGCTCGGGCTAAGTGACGGAAATTGGGTTGGATTTTCACATTCCCCCATCCCCTATCTCTTATTAGTCACCCTGAAAATAGATACTTACGTTATAATTTGTTCTAAGACTATTTAGTGGGTGACAAAGGTCAGCAATGAAGAGCACTTCTCGGTGTTCTGTAATGCAAACAGCTAAGTCAACAGCCTCTCACCTTATTAAGCCAGAAAAAAGCTCTCCCGCTATTACCTGCAGGGGAGCAGTGAGGACCTGGGTGGATCACCTAATTCTCGGCTAGACAGACCTTTCAGGTGCATTACTTTGGAAGGACAGATCCTGAAAGAGCAGAAAGGGAACCCAAAGTCTCAGCGCAATGAAGTACCCTGTCAAACCATGCAATTTCAAAATGTCAGTATTGTGTGTTAAGGGTCGCGCACAAAATGAGGTCTTAAACTCCTTGGTGAAAGTCAATCTGATTGACAGCGTGATGTGAGAGAAGAACTCTGATCAGGAGTCAAGGCACCAGCACTGTAGTCCTGGAGCTGCTCATGTGTGGGAAAGAAAATTTGGGCCAGTACTGTAACCCCTCTCGGCCTCCCTTTCCTCCTCTGTCAATGTTGGCTGCTAAGCCCAGTGGCTACGTTTGTTTCAGTTTTTAAATTTCAGAATTCTATGTAATTTTATATAATTGCCAGAGGTACATTTTCTCCACATCCTCGCCACCACTTTCTGTCTCATGTTCTCAGTGGTAGCGTTCTAACAGGTGTTGAGAGGACCTTTTACTGTGGTTCTGATTTGCGTTTCCCTGGTGACCAGTGACTCTGAGCATCTGTTCGTGAATGTTCATGTGTCATTGGCCATTTGGAAAAACTTCCATTCAGTTTCTCTGCCTGTTTTTAATCTTTTTTTTTTGTTATTGAGATGCATGAATTCTGTATGTATTTATTCGGGCTATTAAGTCCTTATCTATCACATAACTTGCATACATTTTGTCCCATTTCCCAAGTTGCCTTCTCATTTGTTGATTGCTTCTTCTGATGTACAGAATCTCTATAGTTTGATGTAGTCCTACTTGTTCGATTTTTGGTTTTATTGCTGTGCTTTGGTATCATTTCCAAAAGATGCTCATGCACTGCTGGTAGAGATGTAAATTTATTCAGCCACTATAAGAAAGTAGTATGAAAGTTCTGCAAGAATTTAAAATTAGAACTACCATATGATCCAGCAATCCAACTTCTGGATACATACACCCAAAGGAAATGAAAATAAGACACGGAAAAGATATTTCTGCGTGGCCA